AACACAGAGTACATAAACTAACTACATTTTCCCAATAACCAGTGCTCACCACTTTGATCGAAAGTAAGTGCCACTAAAGAGACCAATCGCAGCTGGTAAACCACAGGCAAAACTGCGCGACCGCAAAACCACATTGCAATCATTTTAAGTTGGTTATCGCCTACCCAAAGATTAGTGGTTTTCCTAGCTACTACTTCTGGTTCCATTCACTTTATTTTGGTTTTCTGACGTGACTAAATGGGCCCCTCCTTCCTCCCCTCTTTCTCTTTCTCTCGCACAAAATGCGCAACTGAATGGAAAAAGTCTGCGAAACCTCTACCGTTAACAGGTCGGCGCGTCATCTCGAGTGCGAGGTAATCTTGTCTCCTCTCCCGTTTAGTGAAATTCTCGGGTCGTATGCGTTGTTTCCAGTCGCTTGCGGGTCTTCTCCTCACGAGTTCCGCTCCTCCCCGGCAGAAGCCTTTCGGTCTAGGTTCCGATTCTCAGGAAATATTTTACTTGTATCTATTCGCATTGCATAACAGTTCAACTTTCAATTTAGCATTTCAGTAAAATAGGTCTTCTTTTTTTAATTGGTGGCTCCCTTGACGACAACTAAGCTTCTTCCTGCATCAGCTATCACGCCGGATGTATTATTATTATTATTTCTTAATATCATCATTATTTTTTTCATTTTTCTACGCCTCCTTCACGACTTCGGTTTCGCACATCAAATGTAGAAATTTAAAACAAAGGCAATTATATAAGACATAACATATAATAGCAAGAAAGAAATACAACTCGATATGACAGCACGTAATCATTACTGTCGACTGATTTTATCTTCGCCAGTAAGAAAAAACAAGACTAAACAAGAAGGGTATTCTGCACGTTTAGTAAAGTAGCAGACAGTGATTACAATAAAAGAGATGCCGACCTCCTACAAGGGAAGTGCATCGGCGAGGCTGGAAACCCTCGGAGGAATCTGTATGGCTTCGCTCCGTCCGCCCGAGACCTGACAACTCGCCGCTGGGCCAAACGGTCCGCTGTCTGCCACATTTGGACAGGCCAAGAATAGTTCCTTTGCTTCCTTCAGTGGAAACAAATCGACGATTAAATTGTCCGGACGATGATCTTGTCAATCCTGACACGCATACATAAAGTAATCTAAAGGGTTATCCACTTGTTCTAAGGAACCGAGATAGTAATTTCTGTGCCACGAACTAGTTTTACTGTAGTTGTGCAACTGCGTACATCAACTGCTACACAATCAACCATGAGTAACTAGAATAAATGCAAAGGAGGCAACTCATAGCAAGTCAAATCAAGCAACAGATAATGCCATTCAAGTATTCCTCACCCCCTCCTAGTCTTCATTCCACCCACTGCCTCTCACTTAATCTATCTATTTATCTATTCTCTCTCCCTTTCCTCTCCCTACCTCTCCCCCTTTCTCTCTTCCTCCCTTCCCCTCTCTCTGTCCCTCCCTCTCTTTCCATCTCTTTCCCTCTCCCCTCCCTCACTCTTAACACCTCCTTCTCTCTCTCTCTCCCCCTCTCTTCCTCCCTCCCTCCCTCCCTCCCTCCCTCCCTCTCTCTCTCTCTTTCTCCTTTCTCATTCTCTATCTCCCTCTTTCTGTTGTCTTTCTGTCTCTGTCTCCCTCTTTCTGTCTCTGTCTCCGTCTCCCTCTTTCTGTCTCCGTCTCCCTCTTTCTGTCTCCGTCTCCCTCTTTCTGTCTCCGTCTCCCTCTTTCTGTCTCCGTCTCCCTCTTTCTGTCTCCGTCTCCCTCTTTCTGTCTCCGTCTCCCTCTTTCTGTCTCCGTCTCCCTCTTCTGTCTCCGTCTCCCTCTTTCTGTCTCCGTCTCCCTCTTTCTGTCTCCGTCTCCCTCTTTCTGTCTCCGTCTCCCTCTTTCTGTCTCCGTCTCCCTCTTTCTGTCTCCGTCTCCCTCTTTCTGTCTCCGTCTCCCTCTTTCTGTCTCCGTCTCCCTCTTTCTGTCTCCGTCTCCCTCTTTCTGTCTCCGTCTCCCTCTTTCTGTCTCCGTCTCCCTCTTTCTGTCTCCGTCTCCCTCTTTCTGTCTCCGTCTCCCTCTTTCTGTCTCCGTCTCCCTCTTTCTGTCTCCGTCTCCCTCTTTCTGTCTCCGTCTCCCTCTTTCTGTCTCCGTCTCCCTCTTTCTGTCTCCGTCTCCCTCTTTCTGTCTCCGTCTCCCTCTTTCTGTCTCCGTCTCCCTCTTTCTGTCTCCGTCTCCCTCTTTCTGTCTCCGTCTCCCTCTTTCTGTCTCCGTCTCCCTCTTTCTGTCTCCGTCTCTCTCTTTCTGTCTCCGTCTCTCTCTTTCTGTCTCCGTCTCTCTCTTTCTGTCTCCGTCTCTCTCTTTCTGTCTCCGTCTCTCTCTTTCTGTCTCCGTCTCTCTCTTTCTGTCTCCGTCTCTCTCTTTCTGTCTCCGTCTCTCTCTTTCTGTCTCTGTCTCTCTCTTTCTGTCTCTGTCTCTCTCTTCTCTCTCTCTCTCTCTCTCTCTCTCTCTCTC